AGTTGTATTAAAAAATGTCCTGGCTCTTCCAAGCTTTATAATGGCAGTGGTCCAGATTTTGAAGATTGTTTTTATTTTTTATATTTTTAAATAAAGGTTTATATATACAGTGTGTGTGTGTGTGTGTGTGTGTGTATATATATATATATATATAAAAAGTATATACACACACGTGTAAATTATATAAAAATATAATATTATATATAATTTAATATAATATCATAAATATAATATTTATCACACACATGTAATATAGCTACATATTTTATATAAAAATAATAATATATGTAATATATAATTTTATAATTTTATATAGTGTTATATATTTATATAATATACAATGCATACATACACACACACATACAATATATAATTTTTTTAGAATAATGTTAATGAGTTTATAATTGCGACCACAACAAACCGAACCATTTTTGCAGCTTATTTTTTATTATAAATGGTCTGAGTGTAGCTGTCAAAATCGATATATTATACTGAACTATTTAAAAGGAACAACAGAAATCCAACTTTTCATGACTTGACCCATTAATGACTCAGTTTTGACATTTACCATTGTGTTTCTCCAAAATTACTAATGAAATGTGTGATATCCTTTTGAGATTACAGGAATACCACTGTGTCATCACGTTGTGCAAACTGTTCAAGAAAATGCCTGTTTGTACTTTGACACTGATGGCCCACCTGTAAGGAACATGAGTGAGTAATACATGCTTTAGGAAACAGAAGTCAGGGTGTCCCTAAGTCTTTAGAGGGATATTGTAATGAAAGTGTTGTTTTCAAATGCTTGTGTCAGAGCTGTCCTGGCAGGTCAAACACCTGCTTTCCTAAACCTCAACCTTACCATTTGCGCATGAGTCTTTAAGGGTCTTCTGTCAGCTGTTGCACTGAAGAATGCAGCAGCTGTGTCTTACCAGCACCACTGGATGCATGAAGAAAACCACAAACAAATAACAGTCTGTCGTTACTTGGAAATTAACTTCCCTTCAGGAGCTACAGCTTTTAAAAAAACAGAAAATAACCACAATCACAAACCTCTCCTTAACTAGCTGCACGATTTAAGGAACCATTCGTGTGTAAAGTACAAAATAGGTTTGAAGGAATAGTTCACCTGAAATGTACTCCAACATGTAGATAAATTTGTTTCTTAATCAGAACTGATTTGGAGAAATTTAGCATTACATCACTTGCTCACCAATGGATCAGTGAATGGGTGCCGTCAGAATGAGAGTCCAAACAGCTGATAAAAACATCCATAAAGTCCATCAATTACAGCTCTGAAGTGAAAAGCTGCGTGTTTGTAAGAAACAAATTCATCAAGACATTTTAAATTAAACCAACACTGTTTGGACTCTCATTCTGACGGCACCCATTCAGTGCAGAGTATCCATTGATGAGCAAGTGATGTAATGCTAAATTTCTCCAAATCTGTTCTGATGAAGAAACAAACTCATCTACATCTTGGATGGCCTGAGGGTGAGTAATTTTTCAGCAAATTTTCATTTTTGGGTGAACTATTCCTTTAATACTTCGCTTTAGGGGCTTGTTTGCTTTTGAAAGTATGACTGAAAATAAAATTTGGTTAATGACTTTTAAAAGTGTCATTGCATTAAGATCTTATGTAATATCGAACAGAAAACTCCTGTCTCAGCAGTCCATTAATTACCTCATATATTTACTAAATCCTAACACTGGCACAATAACATTACATAAGAGCGCTGGTCCAGATTTTAAAGCATATATGGAGCCAAGGCAGCAAGCGGAGAAATGTCAAATATCCAAAACAGCTTTACTCAAGAGCATAATAATGGATAAACTACAGTGTGGGAGCTCAGACACCTCTGTGGGAAGCTACAGAAGCCCTAAACACACTCAAAAGTCAGGAAAAGGACGATTGGAGTCTGAAAAAAAAAAAAAGCTTTCTGTAAGCCTAGAAGTCATAATGGTAGTTCAATGCACATAAACCCACAATACACTACAGTCCAAAAGTTTAGGGTCTTTAAGATTTTTTTAAAGTTTTTGAAAGAAGTCTCTTATGCTCACCAAGGCTGCCGTGCTTGATCAAAAACACAGTGAAATAAGTAATATTGTGAAATATTATTAAAATTCCAAATAACTGTTTTCCAGTTGAATATATTTTAAAATATAACTTATTCTTGTGATGCAAAGCTGGATTTTCAGCATCATTACTCCAGTCTTCAGTGTCACATGATCCTTCAGAAATCATTATAATATGCTGATTTACTGCTCAAGAAACATTTCATATTATTATCAATGTTGAAAACAGTTGTGCTGCTTAATATTTTTGTGGAAACTTTAAGAAACTTTGTCAAGAATCTTTGATAAATAGACAGTTCAAAAGACCAGCATTTATTTGAAATATCTTTTGTAACATTAAATGTCTTTACAGTCATTTTTGATTCATTTAACCCAAACTGACCCCAAACGTTTAAACAGCAGTGTTTTTTTTTTTTTTACAGTTTCTTGTAACCAACATAATATCATTATTACTGCAGGTTATATTGTGCAATATTCATTCCCTTTACATGCCAAAGTTACAGTAGCCGCAAAATGTCACCAAGCAACCTAATAAACATTATGAAGAATCTTTTATGCAAAATTACGCATTTGCCCAGTTTCCCTTTTTCCAAAACAGACCCTTGACATTTCCATTTAGTCACCTGTGACTAGTCTACTGTGGCAGCAAAAAAGAGAAATGACTTGAACATGACATGATTACGTCTAATGAGTTGAGCAACAGGGCGTTACAGAAATGTAGAAAATCACAGACAATTTATACAAATTTTACCAGAATTTCAAGCTTACAAAACAGCTTAAACACTTTGCACTCTTTATATATATCGGTGGTTCTTTGCTGGAGGGTAATGATCCAAAATGAGCCATAAGTCTGTTCTGAGAGGGACCACAGAGAACATTTCCAAAACCATTTCAAGATGCATGAAACCTCCAAAATTCAGGAGACATTTACAATTTAAACTGTATTTGTTATTTTTTCAATACAGCCTATTTCATTATAATTTGTATCATTATAAATATTTATTAAATATATTTAAATTGATATTAAATATTTAATTTTAAGGTCATTTTTAAGCTTTTATATACGCATTTGGCAGGGGTTTTTATCCAATTTATTTCTGAAACATCATGTGACACTGAAGACTGGAGTCTGGAGCTGCTGAAAATTCAGCTTTGCAATAATTTATGCATTTACATAATAATATTATAAATGCAATTACATTTAAAAAAAAATACGAAAATAGAAAACAGTTATTTTAAAAGCATTATAAATGAACTAATGAAATGAAATGGCTAGGAAGTATACTCTCATTCCGGCGTAATAATCAAGGAACTTTGCTGCCGTACCATGGGTGCAGCAGGCGCAATGATATTACACAGCGCCTGAAAATAGTCCCAGCTAGGTAACTTCCAACGGAAGGCACGCTCCCTCTGCAAGCAGGTGGTCACGTTGGTTATGTTGGCGGAAGTTAGCATATTTTCAGGTGCTGCGTAATATCATAGCACCTGCTGCACCCATGGTACGGCAGCAAAGTTCCTTGATTATTACGCCGGAATGAGATTATAGTTCCTAGCCATATCGGCCTAGAAAATCGCAACTTTTCATTTTCCGTCGGTCTTAGTACACGATGGAACTACAGAAGAGTCAAGTTTTAAATAGGAAAAATATTGAAACTATTTGGTCATTTTTGAGCGAGATGCTAACGGTCTAATCAGATTCAATGATCTATGCTAAGCTACAGCTAAAAGTGCTACCGCCAGACCCGAAGATCGGCTGAATGGATTCGAAACGGTAAAACTCAACTGTTTAACTCTAGGGGAGTTGGAAAATGAGCCTATTTTCAAAAATAGTGGAGTGTTCCTTTAAAACGGGACTGAAATCGAGATGAGACGTTCAGAGGGAAGGAATCCTCTCTTGAGAGCCATTTTGGACAAAGCAAACCTTATGTCAGATTCATCTTTCTCCAGGCTTCAGTAATTATGCCACACTATTTCACTACAAACAGACCATTTCTGCAACAATCACACCATGCAGATGGAAACGAGGATGAATTTAACATTAACAAATGCAATAGAGTACAAAACATACTTGGATCCAGTACGTGATCTAGGTCTTGGCGTTTACCGAAGACTTCCCAGACACTGGAGTTCCTCAGCACCCTTGAGCTTGGCAAGAGATCAAACGAGGGGAACCTCCTTTAAAGCTCGACATGAAGAGCGGTAGCTCTCTGGGAATGGTTAAGTGTTGAGAGCGATTTTGGCCAATCACGGGTTCAGTAGAGCCTCAAGCAAGAAGAGATCGCACAGTCTTTCGCTCATCCATGAAACAGATGTGTTCTCATAGAGGAACCAGTGGAGGAGAGGGACATGGGGAATGAACGAGTGAACGAATTAAAAATTGATAGACAGAAACCTCCCTTAAAGGTGGACTGAGGAAATGTTACTGCTCATAAAAAATCCTTACCAGCCAAAAACATATTTTACTTACTTTTTATTCAAAAATATAAATGTATCTCTATTAGAAAGCAATCATTTCATTCTTTTTCTCCTGTATAGTTATGTATAGTACGAGTACGGTGTCACAGAAGCATCCTATTCGAGATGATTCAGCCTCTGTCTACTTTTTACAAAAATGTTAAGAATGTGTCACACATTGGATTTTGTTCCTCATATATTATATTGGAGAAAATGAAGATAAACTTTTAATGTGAATGTTCCACTTAAAGTTGTTCAGTCAAGTCACTTACAATATCATGGGTCAGATTATCATTCTTACAATTTGACTTCTACATAACGTTGCAGTTCCTCAAAACACCGGCCAACTTTAGCATTTGTTGCCCAGTGAGTGTTAACTTTGTACCCTGACTGCATACTATTTGAGCGAGTGTCAATCAGCGAGACTATAACGTCATGCTGTGCTGCGTAGCGATCTCAGGCGTACCACTCACCGAGATGTCGTTCTGCACCTTCTCATAAGACAGCTGCAGCAGGGGGTGGCCGGGTCTCTCGGGTGTCAGGTGGAAGCTGTATTCCCCCTCCGCTGCCGGTCCCTCTCCGGTCAGAGCCAGCTGCAGGTCACCAACATACCTCTCCCGCTCCATCTCGATCTCCTGAGCTTCACGGGACACATCCTCCTCTGAAACTAACAAATGAAACCAATGCAAAGGCCTGTGGTTTGAAACGTGGCAGTTTTGAAGGCTCTTCATGTCATTTAAATGGGATCATTTGACGTCCTACCTTCACCACTCCATGCAGAGATGCCATCGGACAGAAGGATAACAAAGCCAGATCCAAGATCCTCAGCCCACTCTAGCTTGAGAAAAAACGTGCGATGAGGCTCAGAGGCAATGGAGATCTGACGCACGCTAGTGCTGCAACACCTGTAGAAACAAATGATCATAATAACATCACACACAGCTAAAACACAAAGACTCTACATCTGTAAGAATGAACAAATGCATTCAAAAAACTTCAAAAGTATCTGCACTAATCATTATAAATACATATGGGTAAAACAGATGGTTAATTTCAACAATTTGTACATTAATATATATTAGTATAATATAATAATAATATATATTATTAATATAATATATGCAATATTATAAATAATATTCATTAAAATAAAATATAAACATAATTAAAATAACTAGAATATATATTATTATAATTAGATAATTATATATATATATATATATATATATATATATATCACTACAATACATTTGAAAAACTAATATTTAAAAATATATATATTAATACACAAACACATATATAAATAATTATGTATATAATTTTTTTATATAATATTATATATTTAAGTTAACTGTCAATAAATATTTCATTATTTTATAATAGATTTCATTAAAAAAAATAAAAATTACATTATAATTAATTAATTTTAAAAACTAATGATGCTTTATAAATATAAAGCACTAATTCTATAGGCCAGGACTACATCTGCACTACTCATTTTCAGTACTGTGGAAAATGTATGTAAATCTGCAGAATGGATTTAAAATGATGATATATGTAAGGAGTGGAGATTACTATACTCCGTTTTTTTTTTTTTTTTGAGTAATTCATGAACATGCAAAGGTCAGAGAACATGTGAAAGTTTGTAGAAGTTTCTACAAACTCCACCTTAGATTATTAACGGATGGATGCAGACCTCACAGGAGTCAGAAAATCCACTGAGTGATGTGTGAGAAACAGCCGACCTCTCAGGTCAGAGCTGACGATGTGCAGCGGCGAGGGGAAAGGCGAAGGACAACATACGACACATTTGAGTCACCTGACTTTAACTCGCTTGTCAAACTGATAATCAAAGTGTCCAAAACCCTCAGCGAACAGTTCACATCTGTTTCCCTCCCGTCGTGCATCACAACCAATTGTTGCTATTCTTGACGTGACTTTTGTGCAAACCGTGGCATAAACTTACAGCGGGGTCGCGGTATCCAAAGACTGACATGATACGCGCTCTGAGGGAACAGCACAGCTATTCATTAGCTACAGTAACATCTGCACAGAGGTGATTCTTCGCCCTCTGTAATGACAGATGCAGCAAAGCCTATAGGAATATGAGAAGGCGGCTTTGACAAATAAGACAAAGAATTCTCTTAAGATGTGGCTGAGAAGCCAAGAAGGGGTCGGGGTGGAAAGTTCGGATGTGGCTCGCTCCTCAAGATGAACTACCCAAACATTGGTCCATGGCCCTGTTTTATCCAAACTAAAGATTTAAGTGCCACGTTCCCATCCAGAATGTGTGACTATGGCTGCATGACACTGCTGCTATCTTTCCAGCGGCGTCTGTCTGGCCTGGGTAATGGCAGATGAGAGAAAGCTGTTCTTCTAAAAAGATGGTGAAGTATACAAGGGGGTCCCAAGTCACTTTCCATACATGGGATTTGGGCATGAGAGGAGATAAGGTATTCAGATAGGGGAATAGTGATAACTTGAGAAGAAAAGAAAAGAAAACTGCTTGGGTGGCTGGACGAAGAATTAGATTTTAATCATGATCACGATTTCTGCTTCTCTCAATTTATTAAGCATAATCGTCTGCCATATTTTCCCGCTGGTTATTTATCCTGAAAAGGTTTCATTTTAATATGGCATTTGTGTTATGCATTAGTAACAAGCCTCTACAAGCGTTCATGGTTGCGGTTGCCAGATTTCAAGAATTTAAATCCTCCAATCAGAGCAATAATCGTGATTAACTATTAAAATAGTACAGGCTTAACTATTAAAATAGTACACTCATTATCGTGCAGCTCTAGCTAGTGGCTTTATGAGAGAATAATGATGGTTTGGGGTCTGTAACATATTTTAATGTTTTTGAAAGAAGTCTCTTCTGCTCCACGAGGCTGCATTTATTTGATAAAAAATACAGTAATATTGTGAAGTATTATTACAATTTAAAAGAACAGTTTTCAATTTGAATTTATTTTTAAAATTAATTTATTTCTGTGATCAAAGCTGAATTTTCAGCATCATTACTCCAGTCTTCAGTGTCACATGATCCTTCAGAAATCATTCTAATATGCTGATTTATTATCAATGTTGGAAACAGAGCTGCTTAATATGTTTTTGGAACCTGTGACACTTTTTTTGGGATTCTTTGATGAATAAACAGTTAAAAAGAACAGCATTTATTCAAAATGGAAATCTTTTGTAACAATATACAATACCGTTCAAAAGTTTGGGGTCAGTAATTTTTTTTTTTTAAAGAAATTAATGCTTTTATTCTGCAAGGATGTGTTAAATTGATAAAAAGTGATAATAAAGACTTATATTGTTAGAAAAGATTTCTATTTTGAATCAATGCTGTTATTTTTAGCTTTATTCATCAAATAATCCTGAAAAAAGTATCACAGGTTTCAAAATAATATTAAGCAGCACAAATGTTTCCAACAATGATAATAAATCAGCATTTTAGAATGATTTCTGAAGGATCGTGTGACTGAAGACTGGAGTAATGATGATGAAAAATCAGCTTTGCATCACAGAAATAAATGCAATTTTAAAGTATATTAAAACAGAAAACCATAATTTTAAATGGTAATAATATTCCACAATATTACTGTTTTTTTCTGTATTTTTGGTAAAAAAAAATTGCAGCCTTGATGAGCAGAAGAGACTTCTTTAAAAACATTACAAATCTTACTGATCCCAATCTTTTGAACAGCAGTGTGTGTGTATATATATATATATATATATATATATAGATAGATAGATAGATAGATACGAACAGATATTTTTCATCAAAATAAAATGTTTTACTTTTTTGCAAAAATAGATGGTGACTTTCTGTAAGGAACCAAAACAAACACAAGATTTCAAGGTCAGTAACATGTTGACAACAACACCCTCTTCACTGCTGCTTCTGTATTTCTGCTAAATAAAATTATTAACTCTCATGTTTCCTTGTTTCTTGATTGTTTGTATATTTTAGGTGCATCTTTTTATGACTAACCTAGGAATATTATTAGTTTGTGTTTTGTTTATGACAGGAAACTAATCAGCATTTCAACAGAGAACACAAACAGCATCATATGTATCCCAAACAGGCTCATTTCCCTCATATCACGATCACATTGCGCTCTACACATGCAAAATCTCACCTCATTGCGGATTCTGTATGTTAAATGAGTTTTAATTCAAGCCAACACACTTCTCCAGGTTTCATTTCAATCTTTCATCCGGCTTTTCGACGCTTCGCGCTTCTAGGCTGCCGTACCGGTGACGTAATGTCCATCCTACACCGGAAGTGTGAGTTGGCTGGCTGGGGATTTCGAGATGGTAAGTAGAAAACTGTTATTTGGAATAAGTTCATACAAGTGAGGTCGAAACGAGCAGTCAGATTGCTTTCACTCCGCTGAATGTCGACGCGTGCTGTCTGGTGTGGCGGTATATCCGTCCACGGTGCAGTGAAAGTGAAACCGCTGTCAGGAGAAGTTCAGTGTGCTGTTTGCTGCTGCAGTGATGCAGGACCATAAACAACAGAGAGCAGCTGTTCGTGTTGATCAATGCAGTGAACCTGAGATCTCTGTCAGCAAGCATTGGTCTGTTCTGCACTGTCACTCTCGACTTCTGTTGAACACATCATCTGACAGTATTCAGTACTGCTGCGAGTATGATGTGGCAGGGAGAACATGGCCTTAAACTGAAGACGGCTTGTTTCACCAAAATGCACCATAATACACTGCTGTTCAAAACTTTGGGATCAGTAAGATTTATAATGTGTTTTAAAGAAGTCTCTTCTGCTCATCAAGGCTGCATTTATTTGACCAAAAATACAGAAAAAAGTGATGCAAATCATGCACAAGATGTCATAACATAGACAGAAAACACTATGTAAAAATGTAAAATATTTTTTTTCTGTGTACTACTATGCATATCACTGTAGATTTTTTTTTTAATTACCAAGTACTCAACAACACTGACCCTAGCGTGAATAAATAATAGGTTGTTATGTCAAAACTAATGTCATGGTTTTGCCCACACACATTACTGTTTCTGTAGTCAGTTTAATAAAGAATAAATTAAACTAAACCATTTATATCTAAAGAAATGTAAGCTTTTTAAATGTGCATGAATTATTCCACTTTTTTTGGGGTTACAGTACTTTATAATTATAGTTGTTTATTAATAAGTGATTCATTATTCATTTCCTCTTTCTTTCTTTTGCAGTCTGCCATATTTAATTTCCAGAGTCTGTTGACGGTCATCTTACTGCTGATCTGCACCTGCGCGTATATACGAGCTCTCGCTCCCAACCTGCTGGATAAGAACAAAACAGGGTATGTTTACTGCCATCCATATATTTATATAGTAAACATTCTTATCATTCAAAAATTAAAATTTGCTGAAAATGTACTCAGCCTCAGGCCATCCAAGATGTGGATGAGTTTGTTTCTTCATCAGAACAGATTTGGAGAAATGTAGCTTTACATCACTTGCTCATCAATGGATCCTCTGCGGTGAATGGGTGCCGTCAGAATGAGAGTCCAAACAGCTGATAAAAACATCACAATAATCTACACCCCTCCAGTCCATCATTTAACATCTTATGAAGTGAAAAGCTGCATGTTTGTAAGAAACAAATCAAATAAAACTCACTGAGATGATTTTAACTTCAAACTGTCCTGTATCCATAATATTGCTTTCTTCAGTGAAAAAGTCATTACGTCTGAATCAGGAGAGAAATATGAACAAATATAGCACTCTTTACAAGCAAAAACAGGCCAAAACAGTTCTAAACAAATGTGTCAGTGGATTTTGATGTGAGAGGACAACAGGAGATGAGCTTTTTCACCAGAGGAAGCATTATTATGGATTACTTGAGAATTTCTGTAATGTTTTTATCAGCTGTTTGGACTCTCATTCTGACGGCACCCATTCACTGCAGAGGATCCATTGGTGAGCAAGTGATATAATGCTACATTTCTCCAAATCTGTTCTGATGAAGAAACTCATCTACATCTGTGATGGCCTGAGGGTGAGTACAGATTCAGCAAATTTTCATTTTTGGCTGAACTATTCCTTGAAGCACCGAAAGACTGGTGATTTAAAGGTTAAAGATGTTGTCCAAACAGGCCTGGGTTTGTTTTATGGTTTTATACAAACACTTCAAAAGAAAAATCTTTTGTTAATCCCCAGAAACAGCATCAGTAAAATGTTGCCAAGATATTTTTCTCATGGCGAAAGAGTTAACAATAAATAAACTCCTATTTTCTGTTAATAATACAAAATCTTTATTTACATTCTTAATCGATTTGATCTAAGTTGAGTGTCATTGGTCAGTGTTTGTTTTGGGGATGTGTCTGTGAAATGAAGTGATCGTCTTAACGTCGAACTCGAGCAACAAGATGTTCGCCACATGTTTGGACCTCACATGACAGGAGCAGGAAATGAAGGAGATAATTCACAACCAGTGATCTGATCGCAACAAACACATGCATTAGCCAAGACAAATTAGCCAGAGTTGCTACATATTAAAGTAATGGTTTTCGCACCCCCGCAAACGGCATACAACCGAGCCTTGTTTGCTACCAGTAACTGTGACGTACTTCCAAGATGGCCATTTTGGCGTTTATAGTGAATTTCTGCAAAGTTTTCATGGGCAGAAACTTGCAGATCTGCCTGTGTGTCACAGAGTAAATGATCGTGTGAAAGGACATCAAATATCCAAAGCCATGTTTGGATGATTGTAGCAAATGCCAAGGTTGCGAAACCTAAAGAGCGTTTACTGGAGAAATGTGTGAAAGCTTTGTTTGACGTGGGGAAACAGAGGCTGGGTTTTGTTCCCGGGGGTCTGCGCAGGCTGTTTACAGAGCATGTTCTCGCTGACCTGTTTGTTGTTTCTGTTCAGGCCAGATGCCCGTCTGCTCGTAGATCTCCACTCTGTCAGGTGTCTGTTGTGACATTTCAGGCCCCGAGAAGCTCATCAGTCATCTATAGTTCTGCCCTCTGTAATCTTCTGCTTCACGCTTCCTAGACGAGCAGTCGGCAGACATAAGAATTCAGCCCGCCGCTTTGTCTTTTACGCAAATGTTATTTTAAGCCATGGTATCAAAGCCTAATTCTAGTACTGCTAAATCAACATTTAAAAGATATACACAATTACAGTCTTTCTTTTCCAGGAAAACAAATATATGTATACTACCATTAAAGAGTAAAGAAATGAATACTTTTATTCAGCAAGGTCTCATTAAATTTGTCAAAAGTGACAGTAAAGACATTTTTTTTTACAAAAGATCTATTGTAAATGTAATGAAAAATATTAAGCAGCACAACTGTTTTCAACATTGATAATAATATGAAATGTTTCTTGAGCAGCAAATCAGCATATTATAATGATTTCTGAAGGATCATGTGACACTGAAGACTGGAGTAATGATGCTGAAAATTCTGCTTTGCATCACAGGAATAAATTACATTTAACATATATTAAAATAGAAAACAGTTATTTTGAATTGTAATAATATTTTACAATATTATGCAACCTTGGTGAGCAGAAGAGACTTCTTTCAAAAACTTAAAATCTTACCGATCCTGAACTTCTGAATTCATTCATTGTTTTAGTGGTTATACTAACTGCAGTAACTATGATATTTTGTTGTGAATTATGGTTACTTTATGGAATAATAAAAAAAACAATCCAAACATTTGAAGAAAAAAGAAAGAAATATGAGTAAAATCAGTAATATTTTTAATAATAATAATAATATGCATTTTATCTTAAACATGGGAAAAAGTTTGTTCATTTGCATACAAGAAATGTTTTAATAATTACATTAATAAATTTTAAGTCTGAAAATTAAAATATGACTTTTTTGTGGTAACTTGTCGCTTTTGATATACTATGCAAATTTTGCATATGTACTAATATTACTGGTAATTTGCTATATATATATATATATATATATATACACACACACATATGTATGTATGTGTGTATATATAAATATATATATATATATATATATAAATATATAAAGCTAATTCATTGGCGGTTCCCAGAGCTGCTTTTTATTATGATTTCAGTCCAGTTTTAATTGTTTTACATCATATCTGTTCAAGCGTTAACTGTAAACCCTTTCCTTTTGCCCTCAGATTCCTTGGAATTTTCTGGAAATGTGCAAGAATAGGTGAGTAATGTCATAAAAGCTACCATATCATGTGTTTTTGTGTGTGTGTGTTTTTTTATATGATTTATTCTTTTGCTATTTTTTCTTTTGGTAATGATCTTTTACGTTACCTTTTAGGTGAGCGCAAAAGCCCTTACGTGGCGTGTTGCTGCATCATCATGGCCTTCACGATTTTATTTTCGGAGTAGCTGCAGAAGCATGTGAGGATTTGGAGCAGGCAGAGATGATTTCCAAGAACAGCTACAAGATTCTACAGATGTGTAATTGGGCGACATTCAGACTCTCTTGGGCAGAACTGGCTTCTGGTAATGCATGTGGACTGCTCTCCAAATACAGCTTGAGCGTTTCTCAGCCTCCCGGACCTATTTTTGTAAATACAAATAATTGATGGTCTCCATGGTATTGCTCCAGTTGTCATTGACTCATGCACCCAAAGCTGATCAGATGTAACATGTTTGTTGTTGGAGCCAAAATGCTTGTCAATGACAGTTTTAATATGGGACATTGAGGATAAATTTGATGCACATGGATGTGCTTGATATCATGCTTGTTAAAATGTTTAATTGAATCTGTTGACTTTACATGAAGACGTGGTGAAGTTTGCATTAAAAGATGAATTTATTACAGAAATCTTGATATAAATGTTTGATAACAAAATCTGTGACATGTCTGTAGTCGAATGATATTAAAGATCAACAATATATACATATTGGCCATTGTTGATAGCTGATGATGATTGATATTATAAATCAATACAGTCGATTTTTTTGTTTAGATTTTAGGTAAAACCAGGCATCAAAACGATTTAATGTGCAGAAAATATTTTCATGACATGGTAAAAGTTTGAGTTAAGAAAAGGAAAGTTGAGTTGGAAAAATTTGCTTGATATCTGCTTCCAATATAAGACAAATCAAATCAACAATTAGCAAAATATTAATATTAGTGAAAATTTGTATATTGTGCATCCCTAAATAATATTATTCAGGTTTTTTAAAATCTATCTGTATCTTTTGGTAATACAAGAAACCCACAAAAAGAGAAAGAGAGTC